AAAAAATAATTGCTGAAAAGAAACCGTCAATTGAACAGATACACACTCATATCTTTACATCAATTGAATAACCATTACACACTCATATCTTTTTGATGTGGGACAAGACACCTCTTAGTTTGATTTACAAACAAACTACCAACAATCCCCCACTTTGTTCGTAAAACAAAAATTACAAAAATATATAGCCAAAATTTCCATAAGATTAATATACATACATAAAGATCTTTTTCGAGTTAAACATTTATTGAGTGCTAGTATCTAAAAATTCTATAGAAGTTACAAGTAGTTGGAGCTTTAAACTTGCTACTTTAATAATATGATTGGATATAACGCACATACACTAACCTCTTGTTTCAACAAGAAGCTCTATAATTTACTTGATACTATTATGGTCTTGTGCTTGTTCCTGTTTCATGATCTCTCTTGAAAGTAATCCTAACTTTCGTAAGAAGCAGTACCACTTCTAAGCTCATATAGGTAAAGTATTTACCATGTGTTTCGTTATTAATAAACACATTACTAATTTGTATTATACTTAAGGGTTAATACCACAAAAAATCTCAAACCAGTACACTTGTGAGAAATTTACCCCAAACTAATTTTTGACCACCAAAAATTCCAAATCGGTACACATGTGACAAATTTATCACAAACTAATTTTTTGACCACAAAAAATCCCAAATTGGTATATTTGTGACAAATTTACCTTCCGTTAAATTGGATTAATACAAAAAAACCACAAACTAGTACAACTACGACAAATGGATGGTAAAACCTCAAACCGGTACATCTGTCAACTGCCACGTGTCATTTAACTCAGCAATTTGACAGTAAAATTTAACGGAGGGTAAATTTGTCATAGGTGTACCAGTTTAGAGTTTTTAGTGGTTAAAAAATTAGTTTGGGATAAATTTGTCACATGTGTACCGATTTAAGATTTTCTGTGGTATTAACCCTATACTTAATTAAGAATATAACTCAGTCTACAAAAACCATAATAAATGATACTGACTTCTCATGTCCGGGCTAATATCAATATCAAATAATCACTTTCAGTAACTTGTTTTTACCCATTAAATCTTGTAACTAGTAATATACTAGTATTTTAGTTAGGTTACTATTACTGGTGATTTAAGTCAAAGGGTTTTAGTCCCATTTCTTTGGAGGTTATCTTTACCGCCTCTCTTGGTTGAGCCTTTGTAAAGGGATAGCCGGATTCTTGCTTGACATCACATAACCAATTGTTATAGTTTCATCCTGAATCAATTGTCTCACATACTTATGTCTTAGACTGATATGTCTAGACTTTCCATTATAAGTGCTACTATAAGCTCTTGCCAAAGTAGCTTGACTATCACAATGGATATAAGGCATGGGACTAGACCATACTTTGATATCCAACAACAAATTTCTAATCCATAATTCAGATTCCATGGTTGAGTGTGTTATACATGTTTGTTTCTTGCTCGCCCAAATATGAAAATCCATCCAGAAGTAGATGTTTATCTCCCACACTTGTAATCCAACTAGAATCGATGTATCCTTCTAATACATCGGATAATCTTTATAGAACAATCTCAAATTTTAAGTTCTCTTAAGATAACCAAAAATTCTAGTAACAACTTTCAATGTTCTATACTTGAATTAATAGTACAATGCAGTGCATACATTAAAGATCCTATATCACTCGCAAATTCAAGTTGTTCTACTGCTCTATCGATATTATAATTTAACTTAATACTTGAGTCAAATGGAGTGCTCACTTCTTTGAAACCAAAATGTTTAATATTTTTTCAATGTAATGACTTTGGCTCAAAAAATAACCCTCACTATGTTTTTTTAATTTTAATACCCAATATAGTATCTACATCACCTAAATCTTTCATTTTAAATATGGAAGTTAGATACTTATTAGTCTCAATGACTTCGGTCATATTGATTCTAAAAATAAGCATATCATCAACGTATAAGCAAACTAAAACACCATAGTCTTTAGTGAATTCAGAATAAATACACTTATTAGCACTATGATGTTTGAAACTATTAGACAATATAACTGAATCAAATTTTTTATGCCACTACTTTGGTGTTTGATTTAACTAGCTTACATACTTCCCTCTCATTTCCAAGAAGAACAAAACCATCAGGATGTTCCATGTAAATTTTCTCATTTAAATCTCCATTTAAAAATGCAATTTTGACATCCATTTGATGAATGCAAAGAGAATAAAATGGATGCTAATGCAAAAAGAATTCGAATAGATGTTATGCATGCTACAGGAGCATATATATCGAAATAATCTATTCCTTTATATTGTCTATACCACTTGGCCACTAATCTAGCCTTAAAGGCTTGGATAGAACCATTGGAATTATCTTTTCTCCTGAAAATCCATTTGCACCCAATTGGTTACATCCTTTTGGTAAATCTACTAATACCCGAGTATTATTGGACATAATTGAGTCAATTTCATCATTTATAACTTCTTTCCCAAAATGAGCATCACTAGAAGACATAGCATTACTAAAACTTTTAGGATCATCTCTCATAATTAATACTAAAGAATATTTATTTACCACGTTATTATCTCTATCTCCTTCAACAAGGAAAACATGAGTAATAAAATATGGACCTAAATCTTTCAATTTCCTTGCTCTAGTGTTTCTCCTAGGTTCAGTCGTGTCTTTAGAATCGTGACTTTGATTGACTCCGACTCTATTGTTGCCAAAATAATTCCTTAAAATTGTTGGAAAAAAATCAATTGGGAAAAATGGAATCAGACTTTGAGGCGCGAATGCACTGTTTTTAAGGAATTGTTTGCACCGCTTGGTTGTTAATGGTTACTTGCCAAAATCCTTCAGGATACAACAAAGTCTTAATTGAGAATACCAGATAGTAATTATGCTATTTCTCCAAGAACTTTCAAAAGGGAAACAATTGAAAACAATGGCTGTATTTTTTTTTTTTTTGAGAAGAGACGAAAAAATGAGAGAGTTAGTTATTAAACCAAAAACGTTGATAATAAACAGCGAAACCCTTTTGTAAACAAAAATATTGTTTCAAAAGGACACAATTATTCATTTTGTAACTATAAATTCGAAATTAAAAATAAATAAAGAAAATAACCATTGAAAAAAAAAGTCAATTGAATAGACACACACTCATATCTTTTTATCAATTGAACAAATAAAAGATAACCGCCACATACTCACATCTTTTTGATATGGGACAAGGCATGTCGCAATTTGTTTTATCAACAAATGGGCCACCACCATCCTTCATCTTCATCGTCATCGATGAACCACCACCCCATACCGAACTGTGTCTCTGCTCGTCATCATTGTCATCTCTCTCTATTACCCTCATCGTCTACAACTTAGTTCATAAATTGCGAGAAAGCTCGTGCTTGGTCATCATCATCTTCTCTGCCTGGCTTAGCGATGGAGGAGCTTGTGCCACAACTGAGCTCGTCGACTGCAATAGAGGTCGACATCATGCCTGCTTCTAGGCTCAACCACCATGAAGTCGGCGCCAAGCCTCCAAATCCAAATTTAGAAGCTCAGGGAGAGGGAGCTCGATGCACCAAGCAAAGCTCTGCCATAGGCAACGAGCTCGACACTAATGCTGTTGAGCTCGCCCGTGGGTGTGTTCTTTACTTACCACTTTGTAGGTCTAGTGAATTAGAAAATTTTTTAGGCTTGAAAGCCTTATGGTATAAATTAATAGTTCTCTAAAGAGTAATAGACAATCCCTTTGAAAGGTTGAGAGAAGGGCTATGTATGTGGGATAGCATACCGGTCTCAGTTGACTAATTATATATATCATATATATAGTTAGAGAGAGAGAGAGAGAGAGGAGAACAACAGTGGTAGGTTGTTCACTGTTACTATGCTTCCGTGAAATTTTTGTCAAAGCACACAGCTGAAAACTATTAGAGAAAGAAATAATGGGCAAGTGTGGAGGGAGAATGCATTTCATATATGACAAGCAATCTTCATAGAGATGACACGTGAGAAGTCGGCCAACAAAAGGTGAACTTTTCAAATTCAAACTTAAAAATAATTTGGGACATATCACTCCAAAAATGTGTTTGGTTAGTAATGCCACATCAGTCGTGCGACCAATGATAAAATACCTCTTCGGTTTGAAGGGGTTGCGATTGGGCTTGCCAAAAAGTTAGGTCATGAAATCCTGCCTTGGCAGGCCAAGTCCAGATAACTTAACTACATACCCCTATAAAATCATTATCCAATTGATGAACGAGCCAGCAATGTGTTCGGCTTGGGCAAAGTCCAGAAAGGAGAGGTTGAAGTATATATACAATTTTGAAATGATTTGTCGCATCTTACATAAGGTGAAACGATCATCATGAGTATGCATGAGGACTTGTATGATAAATTTTACTTACAAATAACATCACAACTCATTGCTCATCCGGCATGAGATTGATAGGTTATGCTCAATTCTAAATTACCTTCGAGAAGCATCATATGACTACTCCATGGATTTTCCTTATTGACTGCGCTAACAACTATGTTGGAAATTTAGACATAAGATGATCTTTTCTTAACAATATCGAGAGGTCTCGGATATGATTCCTATCTTCCTCCACCTTCTTCTTCTTAATGTGACCTATATTTATAAAGGCAAACGAAAAAATAAGAAAATTTTGGGCAATTCCTTTTCCTAATGCTCACACACCTACATGTATACGCTAGTGACTAGTATAGACTATAGATCCGCCAAACCCGTCCATAATAAAAATGGCCATAATCATGTAATTAAACTTACGTACGAGGTGAGATCTCTTAAAGAACAGAGGAAAAGAAAAATAAAAGGCCAACTAGCAAGAAGAAGACAAAAGTAGAACGTCGACATGGGGGAGGGTGTTTGTGTCATTTCCCGATCGGGGTACCTATGATAATTGCAAGCCGTCCGAGGTGAGAGATGGGAAAGTCAAACTCAGCTGAAGCCAGAGAGAGAGAGAGAGTCGAATTTGTGGAGGACTGACTATAAAAGGGTGGACTTGGGGGTTGCAAAGCTCTTCGTAGAAGATAGCTTGTAGCACCGTAAGAGCTTGTACTGTGCAACACCCAGAGAAACACAAGCTCATATCTTATATACTTGTAGAGAATGTCACTAGTGGAAGAAGGAGCTGATGATTACACCCAAGATGGAACCGTCGATCTCCGGGGGAATCCTGTCCGTCGGTCGAAGCGCGGCGGATGGACCGCCTGCTCCTTCGTCGTTGGTACTCTCTCTCTCTCTCCCTCTCTCTCTCTCTCTGCGCATTACATGTGAGTGATGGGGAAGTCAGTCTTCTTCATGGGGTGAAGAGAGTTGTTGTTTTCTTGTGCTTGTTTGATGTGCTTTTTGTGGGTTGTGCTGATTGGTTGGACTTGAATGGTATGCATCATGCTCTTCCACATACTTTGGAGCTGCTTTTTCCTTTTTGAGTTTCTTTCCTGGACTTTCTTGATGATTTAGGTGTGAGCCTTGCAAATGCGTGAATGACTCGTGTTGGGTGTTGAGCATAGCTGGAAAGATAACCCTAACCGACAACCTCCCATTATTATCATTGAAATGTGAACCGCAGACATGAAATAATAAATTGCTGAAGTAATAAGTCGTTTCTTCAACTTGTTGCTTTGGAGGTTGTGCCTCGTGCTTGTCCATTTGTCTCTCTTTCCATCCTTTACTGGTGTGCTCTCCTAGCATGATGTTGAACGCTTGATTTGGGTTGTCAATATTTCAATTTAACCTTAGTTTCATGGAAGAGAACTGTGCATAGAGATTGAATGTTTGTGCAGAAAAAAGGAAAAACATATAAACGCATCATTGCTAATACGATGAACATATTCAATCACAGTCGAAATATACGTATTGGGTGTGGACCGTTCGCATTCTTTCGCAGGCCTCGATGTGGACCCGCGAAAATTCGATCTGACTTCGATCCAGATAATCGGGATCATGCTAAGTATTGCTCCTTCCAAAGTGGGTGTCAAGATTGAGTGAAAGCAACCATATATGCAAAATTCTCTTCTTCATGGCTTTAAGACTTGCAGAAGAAGTAGGTTGAGCTGCAAAAATACACAATAAAGACACAACTCCATTTTCCCGATAGGGTACCAGTGGCCATTATTATTCTCCAAAAAGTAAACAAGATCTGCCCCATAAATAGTTAGTTGGGCTAGCAAATCTTCCATATTCAATTTTGCAACCTACTGAAAGTACCTTGGCATTCACAAAGTCTTCCTTAGATGCCCATTAAAACCATGATGTGAATCTAGAATATGGTACTTTGTCCAATTAACGATAGTGGTAATCAGAAGAATACCCCCATTGATTGGCTAGTTCATATATCCACTGCCCTAAAAGTCAAGCAATATGAGAAGCTTCCATTTGCTTTGGACCATAATTATCTCAAGAAAGTACAAAAATTCGAACCTAAATTTTGACTTCCCCGTGAGAAATTCTACCCTACAGAGATTATAACCAGTCGAGATGTAACCAGAAGATGCTGAAGAAAGCCAGTAACATCTTCTCCCCATAGAATAATCAAACCACAAATTGACATTTTGTCACATCTTTGCTGTCCCTAATTGTCGGCTTTGGTCTAATCCTAAACAGTGAATAAGCTAGCTGCTCAACACTAAGTCCAAATCATAGAGCGAAGCATCTGTTTGACCCATTTCTTCTAAGATTCCTCTGATAATAATGCATCTTCAATTGGAAATAAACAGTACATGGTTACAATCTTCTTTTGGCCATTTTGTCCGTTGAATCACGCAAGCCCCATGTGTACCTTGCACTTTCCTTCCTTCATTTTCCATGATTCTATGGTCATGTATTGTACTTGAACATATTAGGTAAGTCGATTTCAATTAAGTCTACTGAATCACGCAACCCCGTCTCGTGTCATGTTTTTTATAATCATTTTTCGTATTGCTATCGTTCGAACCCGTCTAAAAAAACCTTCTGTTTTTAGCGAAAAATCGAAAATCCTATGTATATTATCCCTGAGAATTTGAATGGTGGTAGTAATGCAGATCAGATAGAGCCTAGCCGCAATTATTCAATTTGGCTTGTTTTATTGTATTTTGTTTTTTTTTTGTTTCGTTGGTCTTTGCGTTGACTTGTTGACTAAATTGGGTGCAGTGTATGAAGTCTTCGAGCGGATGGCGTACTATGGAATCTCGTCCAACCTTGTGCTCTATCTGACCAAGAAGCTCCACCAAGGCACGGTCACGTCGGCCAACAATGTCACCAACTGGGTCGGCACCGTCTGGATCACGCCCATCCTCGGCGCGTATGTCGCCGACGCCCACCTCGGCCGCTACTGGACCTTCATCGTCGCGTCCGCCATCTATCTCACGGTACGTGCCATCCGCATTGCCGTCAGAGCGTGTGTGGAAACTTATAGTAGTCATCGTCAGACTCGGCCACAACCTTTTTAGCGTTCCCTTATAGAGTCGTTATCGGATTCCCACATGCTATATACTATAGTTGTAGCAGTTTGGGTTGTACATAAGATCCAATTCCTCGTGCTTCATATGGAAATCGAGAACGATTCTTGGTTGTATTTGCCGGCCAAGAATATTTTAATTTTCTAGCCACTCACTGGTTATTAATCCACGTTATCCCAAAAGTCCAAGGTTGAAAAATAAAATGAGGGAATAATTTTCCGTGAACGACTCAAAATGCTTCAAAAAAATTTCTGGCACAAGAAGTTATTCGGTGCTAAATAAATTAATAAAAAGTAATCCACGTTAAGGACAAATTGGACCGCCGTTTTGATGATATGAACTCTATCGACTCGGAGGTTGTCGCCATGTTCCTCGGTGGTCCTTGCTTATCCTAGTAAGAACCAACCTACTATTCCATCGTATACTTCCAAGGGAATACGTGTGGGAATACTGTTCTGTCTATTTTAGGATGTGAAGATCACGTGCGAACTCGAAAATTAGGGAATGTTTAAACTTAATTACAAAATTAGTGACTGACTAATGCTACAAAATATGACTGGCTAGAGATAATAAAGTCTATAGTTTAAGTTTAATAGGGAATAAGCCATGTATTATCATTATTATAGACTATATAAAATTGGTCGTTGAGCATTTGGTACATTGTAATGTAGAGAAAGCGTCTTATACAACATATTGAATAGTCTTTTTCGTCATGGACGAGATAATTAAGCATGTCTAGCTTACTTCATGCAGGGCATGTTGGTGCTGACCCTGGCGGTCTCGCTTCCCGGCCTCAAACCGCCTCCGTGCTCGGCAGCGAACGTCGGTGATTGTGAGAAGGCCTCCACATTGCACCTCGCCATCTTCTACGGCGCACTGTACACGCTGGCGGTTGGGACCGGCGGGACCAAGCCCAACATCTCGACGATTGGCGCGGACCAGTTTGACGACTTCGACCCAAAGGAGAAGGGCCACAAGCTGTCCTTCTTCAACTGGTGGATGTTCAGCATCTTCTTTGGGACCCTCTTTGCCAACACCGTCCTGGTGTATATTCAGGACAACGTGGGCTGGGCTCTCGGGTACGGGCTCCCCACCCTCGGGCTCGCAATCTCGATTGCGATCTTCCTCGCGGGGACCCGTTACTACCGGCACCGGGTGCCTGCTGGCAGCCCGTTCACAAGGATGGCCCGGGTCATCGTGGCCGCCGGAAGGAAGTGGAGCGTGCGGGTCCCGAGTGATCCGAAGGAGCTTCATGAGCTTGACCCACAAGAGTATGCCAAGAAGGGGAAATTCAGGATCGACTCAACACCAACCTTGAGGTAAGAATTTGCATCAAATTCTATCTCTTCCGTGTTCCCATCTGAAAGACTTATCCCTCAGCTGTCCATTGAAATATTAGTTTTCCAAAAGCCATAGCTATCATCAAATACTGTCACATCTCATGTGTGTTCAAATCAAGTTCGTCCATAAATTCATATGTAGATTCCTCAGTTTCATAGTTGTGCACTCATAGAAGTGTCTTCACGAAGTAAAACAAGGATGATTCATATCTGGAGTTAGCCTTTTGATTCGCTGTGTGGCTCACTCTCCATGCAGATTCTTGAACAAAGCATGCGTCCAAACCGGGACGACTTCTCCGTGGAAACTATGCTCGGTCACCCAAGTTGAGGAGACGAAACAAATGCTGCGGATGATCCCGATCCTGATTGCGACTTTCGTCCCGAGCTGCATGGTGGCTCAAATCAATACCCTCTTTGTCAAGCAAGGAACTACCTTAGATAGGAGCATCGGCAGCTTCAAGATCCCCCCGGCGAGTCTATCTGGATTCGTGACCATCTCGATGCTCGTCTCTGTTGTGTTGTACGACCGCTTCTTCGTCAAGATCATGCAAAGATGGACCAAGAACCCGAGAGGCATCAGTCTTCTTCACAGGATGGGAATTGGCCTCGTCCTCCACATCGTGATCATGACCGTGGCGTCCTTCACCGAGAGATGGAGGCTCCGAGTGGCTACGGAACACAATTTGGTTGAATCGGGAGGACAAATACCACTGACGATCTTCATCCTGCTTCCTCAATTCGTGCTCATGGGAACAGCCGACGCATTCCTGGAAGTAGCAAAGATCGAGTTCTTCTACGACCAAGCGCCGGAGAGCATGAAGAGCCTGGGCACGTCTTATTCAATGACCACCTTGGGAATCGGGAACTTCCTCAGCAGCTTCCTCCTCTCCACGGTGTCGCACATCACCAAAAGGCACGGCCACCGTGGGTGGATACTAAACAACCTGAATGCGTCGCACCTCGACTATTACTATGCCTTCTTCGTGGTGCTCAATATTCTGAATTTTGCGTTCTTCCTGTTCGTGGCGAAACTCTATGTGTATCGCGCTGAGGTCTCGGATTCGATGGTGGTGCTCAAGGAAGAATTAAAAGGGCTGGAGAAGGTACATAACCAGGAAGTGCCAGTGACACAGCTCTGTGATAGGTAAAATGTCACCGCTCGGGTTTGCAACGAATAGATGATAGTGAAACAATGCTTATAGCCTAAGGTCTACCTGGTGTAGAATATCCAGCACTTGTACGGCTCTTGCCGTCGCATCGTAGCGTAGCTTAACATTTATACACAGATGATGATGATGTTTATACTTCTTTCTCGTTTGCGCGCCGTCGAGTTCAAAGGCGACATTCGAATGACCACTCCAGGTTCGCAATTGCTTTTAGTATCAGATGGTCAAAACTCCGGCAATTCATTGTACAAGATATTTCAATCGTTATATATGTCAGTTAAAGAGAGATGATCGATCCATTTTCACTCAACTATTATGATAGAACAACAAACTAAATTGCATATGATAGATATTAAAATGCAAAACTCAGCTGCAAAGACAATGACATCATCGTATCGGGTTGATTCAGCAGAAGCTCGACATCTTCAAGATGTTAAACTGTTTACCCCGTTAAGATGTCTCGACTTGAATTTCCACTTTGTTTCGTGTGAGGTCCACAACCAATAATGCCCACCTTAATCCATGAAATCTTTCGCTCGACCAAACAATGAAGGTTGCCATTGGGACTGTGTTGGTCGTGAGATTCCTTCCATAAGATATTCACAAAAAACAAGAACTGATTGTGGACTGACCAATTACTGACACCTAAATTTTGGAGACTCAGTTAGTCGTTTATTGCATAAAAAATTAGGGATCGAACCCGGTCCCTAGAAAAAAAATTAGTTAAATTGCATATAGATTAGGAGCATTTGAATTAGTATTTAGGTCCATATAATTGCATTTGCATTGGATCGGCGACGGATGGACTTAAATGGATCACTCTGAACTTAATAAAATTAGGCCAAACCCACTAAAGAATATATAGCCGAAATTTTAATTATGTGTGCCAAGTTGAAAAATTGGTCTTTAAATTATTGACCATAATGAATAATCGGAAATAATCTTCGTGGAATTTGTACGTGCATATGTGGAAGTGAACATAAAGAAAGAGGGCAAAATTGATTCTGTGGATTGCGTACATGTTGCGACCTACCCTCGGGTGCACCACCTAGGGGTTCGGTTAATGAATTATTAAGTCTAAGCCTAACTTGGGTTTTCCCAAGCCCTTACCAATTCGCAACTTAAGGTTTAAGTTCTTAACATGCAAATCGTTTCAATTGGGAGTCGCCACTAATATATATTTTGGTGGGTCGATTAAAAACCTAAGTAAAGTATCGAGAGAATTACTTTACTCCTATGAACGAGAGATTATGGACTCGGGGACTTGGTTACACTAGATTACTCTAATGTCCTTTCGGTACCTTTTTTCTTTTATTTTTAAAAAAATATTTGTAGGTAGCTTGGATTGATTTTAAACCTATCCACTAACATGCGAGGTGATCATGCAGGTGCGCAACCAATAATATAATACTCAATAATGCAAAGCAATAACTAAATTGCAAGGATGGATAGAAAATACTTACCTTAGAGCAATAAAAGCATCTGCAATATTAGTTAGAAAATCACTTTAACCATAATATGATTTCTAATTAACACGCAATTTTACTCAAATTTTTTAGGGTTTTCTCTTATTTAACAAAAACTAAACTTTATGTAATGCATTCTACGTCTAGTATGACATGCAACGTACGATTTATGTAAATGTCCAAATTCTAATATGGCATGCAAATGAACCTAGAAATACGATTTCTAATGACATGCGAGCAATGACACATGTCAAGGTATGAATGACATGGCAAGATGACATGTGAGCATGATGCAATTAATCTATATGACATGCACGTGGTATTTTTTTATATTTTTTTATTTAAATTCGGAATAAATAACTAACCTAATTTAAACATGTAATAATAAAATCTAAGAAAAGAATCTAATCTATTGTAATAAAATAATCAAAATTTATCCTAAACATGCATTATATTATCTACTCAAATCTCACGTAATCTTTTTGTATTTTTTTTTGTGGAAAGACAATCAATTCAATTCAAACAAAAGATAAAAAAAAAATAGCAATGAACACGACACCCAATCACAAGAAATATTATCCATATCCATTTAAATTTAAAAACAATAGATTGACAAATCATATCTCCGGCATGAGGATCGGATTGGTCAATCTTCTGCACAATCGTGAATTATATCTCGAGCGGGAGATCGGATTGACGATTTTCCGTGCGATCGCGAGTCATATTTTGGGCATGAAATCGGACTGTCGATCATATGCACGTTGTGCAATTAGGAAATAATTCCTAATTTAAAAGCTATTCGGGAACTTAATGGATACGATAATATCATTTAAAGATTCACATAAAATTGTAACATTTCAAATAAGGAAACAATATACTCGAAAGTCAAATTATATGAGCTTTTTTACCTAATTCGAATATTTGCTTTCCAAGTTTGAATGTCTCGGGATTGGACTCATGGATCAGGACAGGGTGGATTGGCGATGGATCACGAGCGGCTCGTCTCGATGGTGGTTCGCGGCCAAGGCTGGCCAGCAATGTGGACGCTCACGGTGAGAGATGCTCACCGAGATCTCGGCGGAGTTAGTCGCTGAGCTGCTACTTCATGGCTTCGTCATCAAAGGGAATCACAATAACCGGCAAGGAGATTTATCGGACTTCCCAGCAAGACCAAAGAAACCTGCAGATAATTCAAGTTGGATCCAACGAATTCTGTTGACTTCGTTGGACCCACTGAGAAAGAAAGCAAGACCAAGTGCTAGCAAATTGAACGTCACAGAAGCACGATGATGGCAGCAAAGATTCATTGGACTCGGTACAGAATTGCCGAGCGCACTGTAAATTCAATGGTAGGGAATCTACTGGACTTGACTGGAACTCGGCTGAGGAGCTTTGGATGTGGGGTGTCCACGGTGGAGAGTGCTCGATTCGATGGTCTCGGTCACAGCAGCTGCGACGTCAACATTAGGGAGCTTGGCGGTATCGGAGCCGGGCGATGCAGCGACTGGAAGCAGCAGCACGCGGCGGCAGTATTGGGCTCATCAGCGCGGAGGCAACAGCGGCGGTAGGCGGAGATCGGTGCCGGAGCAACAGCGGCAGCAAACAACTTGTTACGGCTAGTGCTTTTACCTAGGAGGGGGGTGAATATGTGATTTTATCAAATTGAATGATTTAAACATGCAGAATGAAAATAGTCGAGGTCAATAACTCGTATGAACAATGTCAGATGGATGTGTATGACAAACTTGTATATAAGTTGTCGTCGGATGATTGCGTTTGATGACTAAGATGATGTTTTAACGAACTTATTTGACAGATATGTATGTAGTATAATATCAGTAATAATAAATGAAAGTTTAGGGATAAAGAATACTGCACATAGATCTTTATAGTGATTCGGCTTTATTAAGCCTACGTCCACTCTCAACGCTGGTAGCTTGTTGGCTGTGTTTCACTATTGAATCTCCAAGAGATTGCAAGAGCAGTGCTTCTCAGATGATAGACTGTACTATCACGTACACTCTTCACTCAAGTAATTTTCTTTGTAAAGTCACAACGTGGAATACAGTAATCACAAGTGTGTAAGATCGAAGCTCTATTCAGACTTTGGAATTCTTGATTTTGGTTATTCTTCATGTACGACGTTTGCACTCCTTTTATACTCCTCTACTTTAAATCTATCCGTTGGACAGTCTTCAGAGGATTGATCTCCAAATCAACCCGTTGGAGAAACTTCCCAAAAAGAAAATGTATAGCCGTTAGAAGAAAAACCATTATCTCCGGATGATTTGATCGCCCATACAATCAAATCAAGGTTTCCATAAGTGTAGTTCTTCGTGTTTAAGGAACGATCTTGTGATTGCCAATTAGAATATATTGAAATATCAATTTGATTGTCCTGCATAAACTTGCCAAAATAACATTTATTGAATCTGACGAGTAGTTTTGAGTCTGATAACAAAGTCGTTTCATCGACTAAGTTTGATGACTCAGTACTTACCTGCATCAAATAACTTAAGTGTAATTGTGGTCAGTAAAAGATTATGGATTTTCCTCAACATTCTCCCCCTTTTTGATGATGACAAAACTATCCATATGCTTTAGAAATATTTATGTGAACAAAAATATTTTTGTGAATAAAATAGTCTTTTCAGATGATATAACAGATATAACAATCAAAGCATATAAAGCATTGTTAATTTCTGAAACCAGCATGATATTTAGATATATCAGTTCTCATTTTACTGCTCTTCGCCACACTTGCATTCACAATCTTTATAATACTTCTTCCCCTTTTTGACATCAGCAGAAAGGATAAGTAGCAATAGCATAATCAATAAAAATTCAATAAGAGTTCAACAGAAGAGTCTTACAACTAGTGTTGAATCACAAGTCAATATCCAAAGTTCACACCAACATTACAAAAATAAATATTGAACGCTAAAACAAATAGCTCAGAAACTAATTGATGGGAAGATATGTGATCAGTTTGGTTGATTTGCTGGAGGAGCTGAGGGTCTAGAGGGTTCCGATGAAGAAGGTCCAAAAGGTGCAAGTGGAAAAGGCACTTGGATAAGACTGAAACTAGAAAGTTGGTTCAATCGTTGCTCAATATGTGATGAGAGCTGATGAATCCGTCCTTCAATATTTGCAGTGTGAATTGCTTTAATTTGTACATCAGTTCTGACTTGTACCTTCAAATTGTTGTTTCTTGCTTCCATCAAGTCCTTGAGCTCCCGGATTCCTTCTTTAAGTTCATTTCGGAGTTCCCTAACTTCATTCTGAATAGCAGCTTGCCTCCACCTTAGATCTGTAATAGCTGCATGATCTGACAGATGAGGAGATATTGTATCCGGAGGGAGTGTTTGTGGTATGAATGTCAATAGATTCTATGACCTTCTCTTTTCCTTTCTGTTGAGCTTCAGATGGAACATTTTCATGTTCATCTCCTTCAAGAGGGAAATCTGCAGATGTTGCTTCTGAAGGGTCTGCCTCTTGTGCATTCCGATTTTGCTCCTCCTGAATGTCAGCCAGATCAAAGCTATTTTCTTCAACATTTTGAGCATTATCTTGCTCATACTCCTCCTGCATTTCAGCCTCTATAACAGGTTCATGCTCAATCTTCCCCTGTCTCCTAGAGGGTCCTTCTCCGTAGAACTACATATCATCAGTTTCT